CCAGTTGACGTCAACGGTGCCGGAGCCCAAGGAGCAGCGGGCGCAGCGGGTGGACACGGGGAAGCGGCGGGCGCGGAAATCGGACACGTCGACGAAGGTGCGGAAGAGGCGGCAGCAGAAGGGGATCACAAGCAAGCGGTTTGTGCTGCCAGGGTCGAACGGTCGGGGCAGCAGCGGCAGGGGCAAGCGGACGTCGAAGCGAAAGCAAGTGGACGACTATGCCCTGGACGACCCGATCACTGAGTTCAGGTTGACGGCCTTCTGAAAGGGTGAGCCCTCTGAACCGATCGAGCCTTGGACAGCGAGTGGGAGATGAACCGGGTGGATTGGGTATGGGTGCGGAGTGTGCGGCGTTGCAGGGTCTGATGGGTTGACAGATTCGCACTAGATTTGACTATCTACCAGTAATATCCGCTATCCAATCTACCGGGCAGCGCGGAGGAAGCCAGGAAGGCGGCGAGGCGGGCTCAGCGGTCGTGGAGGAGAAAGAAGGACCGCTGCGCAAACCCTACACACGTGGGCGCTACGAACCACGCCGCCTGCCAGATTGGGCACGGATCTCGACGCGGATTAGGGTCTCTGCGGGAGCATCCTTTCGCTCGTTACAGCGTCCATTCTAAGAGTCGTTCACAGGCTAGCAGTACAGTCATAACCAAATAAATATCGGGGCGCCAGTCGCTGATTATCTGCGCTGTTTGGGGGATTAGGACGTGCAAGTCAATCCGTGGGCGCCGGCTGGACTACCCTGAGCTGCCTAATCGAGGTCCGAAGGCTGGCCTCACCCTGAGATTGATTCATGAGGTAGATTTACGTGGCAAGCCGAAGAAGCGATGGATCGGGCAGGGCAAAAACTCACAAATAAATTCTGGCCAGTGCCCGTTCCGCCGTGTTCTCTTCTCCCCACCAGCCACCTCTGCCTACTACTCGCCGACTCTCCTCGCCGATGCTCGTCGCCGATGCTTTGTCAATATTTCCCACCTCTTCCGTAACCGTCCTACTCGCCTCGACGCCACATGCTGCCCAGCGTCTGCACTACTGCTTTGTACCTCCCATAACTCGACGCCGCCACCACTCGACGCTGCACGTGGGAGTCGCACATCAACGCCAGGGGTAGTCGCCACGGTACAAGCTCATTAGCGCAGCAGATCACAGGATAGGCCAGTTCCCAGTGGTTTCGAAGACAGCGAGGCGGGTCAGCGGAGCATGTCGAGAGAGACCAAGATCAAGATACAGACCGAGAACCGTGCAGCACGAGTGCAAGGCCTCCCGGGCAACACACAGCTCGGCAGACAGCAGACAGCAGCACCGTGGCAGACAGAAACCGAGGTCGGTGAGTGAGGCCAAAAGGATGAGCAGCATGGTCGAGACCTGATGGATCTTGTGTCTAGAGCGATGCAAGAGAGGGCCGGGCGGCTGGCATTCACGTGAGAGGGGCGGGAGGCATTGTTGGTGTGTCTGCGCTGTTGGGAGACACTACGGAGGTGTCACTGAGGTAAGCATGTGCGCGTGGGTCAGATTTCGCTGACTTACTGACTAGCGCAATCGCACACGGTGTCCTGTGACAAGGTGAGCGCCGTCTTTGCGCGTGTGCAGGGGGCATGGCACCTCGAAGGTGCGAGTGCGCTATGGGGGCGAGCACGCGGTCGCGCTCTAGGAGGATGTCAGAGGGCGGTGAGGCGGGCAGCGAAGTGGGCGGGCGGCGCAAACACCGTTTCACGTCGCCTGGAGATGGCGATGTTCTGTGGAGGTAAGCACACGTGCATCTCATCCAGATTTGCGCTGAACACGTACCTAGTACACGATACGAGCACATTAGCAAAAACGCGTCAGACAGGTGCTGCGTCAGGACGGCGCGGCTACGCTGTCGAGGTACGCCCCTACACACTCTCATCATGCTCACGCTCATCATGTACCAGGACGGCGCCGACAGCGGGAGAAACAGCGCAAACAGCGAGGCGCGGGGGATGCAGCAGCGCATTGGCTGAAAAGGCGAGTGTCACGCTGTTGACACGCGTACCTGACTGAAGTCCGACGGTCCCGCGCCGCCGGTGATCAACCCAAATTCGCGCCGTACGTGGAGGCCGCCTGGAGCGTCGAGGAAGGCGAGCAAGTGGAGGTAGCAGCACATAAGATGGGGATGGCGTGAACGCTGTTGACATACTGCCTGCGCGGGAACTGAATGCAAAGGTGAGCATGGGCGGATACGATCTGGACTTGCACTGAGTGCGTACCAAGTACGCGACGCGGGCGCATCAATAGTGGGCGCTGGGTCGGGATGTGCCACGGTCTGGCGTGATTGCACGCTACTTGACAAGGCGGTTGCGCTGTCAGGTAAGGGTCTAGTACGCCCTCCTGCCATGCTCGCGCTCGTCACGTACTAGAATGGCCGCAACAGTGACACAGAGGACGAAAACAACGGGGCGCGGGGGGCGCAGCGGTCTGAGCGTTTCGACTAAAAGGGTGAGTGTGACACCCTCGACGCGCGTACCTGGCTGAGTCGATTGGCCCCAGTCCCGTGCCCGGGCCGGCAATTCAGCCGAGTTTGCACCGTACGCGAGGGCGTCCGAGAGCCTCGAGGCGGGTGACGAAGCGGAGGCGACGCGACGCGAGCCAAGACGAGCCAGGCAGTGGGTGGTGGCGGTGCGGGAGTGAGAGGCGAACGGCCGCGGGTGGGGACGACTTCATAGACAAGGTACGGGCGCCAGATTCTGGTGACTACTCTCTCTTTCGCTCTTGCGGCCGTCTGGTGCTCGCGCAGAAGACGCGGGCGCGCGGAGAAGTACACTCGTCCGGTGCAGCTGTATACGGCGCGTTTCGCATTGTTTCATAAGTATATTTTGGCGTTTGTGCACATTTCGGGAGGCCGTTTGAGTGGAACGGCCGGGCCAGGACGGGGTGCAACCGGCTACTAACGACACACATTTTGTCTCAGGGCACCATTTGAGCGTGGGGAGCGATGTCCAACGAGCTCGGAGCGTCGTTAGAGGTGAGTACGCACGATTTTCTTTGAATATTTCATGCCCTAACATGCCCTGCAGGTGTGCAGACGACGTATTTGTGCACACAGGCGACTTCTCGCGCGCCGGACTCCCGCGCGACATCGACTTGGCGTCTCCTCCGCGAAATGAGCCGGTCGCGGACAGCAGCGACGTGCGATTTGCAAATGTGCGAGATGCGCCGCGCACGCATGACCCGGACGAGTCAGCAGAACGGGCGAGGATCCGCATGGCAGGCTGTCCAGCCGTAAACCAACACCGCGAGTGCGAGCGCAGGCACAGAAGACTCGAGTGCGGGAGCTATCCGCGCGGCGCGGGAAAGGATTTTCGCGTCCACGCTGCGAGCGCGGATTTGGCAAAGTCTGTGCGCGGACTCGCGCCGTTTACCTGGTTCTGGGAGTCGCAGTGCGCGATTTTCGCGTCCGAATGCGTGCGGGTCGTCTGCTGAGCCTCTCGAGCGCGCGTGTTTTGCCTTTTCGCTGCCAAACGGGTGTATATTATTGCATTGGGTGCTACGATACAATTCCCGGCCGTTCGACACGGCCGTGCGGTGCTTACAGAAGTCCTCAGTTGCCCCCGTCTCCCACTGTCCTCCTAAGCCCCCGTGTAGTCTACGAAGACCCGCTGTAGTGTACCAAGTCCCCCTGTAGTGTACCAAGTCCCCCTGTA